GTTTAAGTTGATGAGAGACTTAGCTTAGAGATCACCACTAATGGTGCTCTTAGTTTCGGGTAAGAGATAGTTCTTAATTTTTCTTAGATTTAATTAAGAAAAATTAAGAACCGTCTCTTAGATAAGAGATATAAGAGCATGTTTATAGGTGAAACTTTTAAATGGTTCTTAAGTGAGCCTAAGTGATTTTTTAAGTATTAATATTGAGAAAAGAGAAGAAGAGAGAAAGAAGAAAATAAAGAGAGAAGTGGTAAGATATGTGTCTCGCTACTCTTAATTAAGAGACAAGTCTTAAAAATAATTGGTGTTTTTGTTTTATTTTTAATCCAAAAATGCTAAGATCCCTCCCTAAGATACACCTATAAACATGTTCTAAGATCTTAGTCAAAAAGTGTAAAAAAAAAGTTAAAATTAAAAGTGTTAAATCATGAGTTAAGAATCCCAACTAAGAGACCTAGGAGTTAATCATATCATTAAGAACTATAATTTTACAAATAATTAAAATGAATATGTTATATTTTCTTTGTTATGTATATTTTAATATCTGATTGGTATTATTTGTTCTCCAAATTTAAAAGCAAAGAAGAGGATCAGAAAGAGAGAGAGAAAAAAAGTAAATTTTAATATCCGATTGGTATTATTTGTTCTCCAAATTTAAAGGCAAAGAAGAGGATCATAAAGAGAGATAATAAAAAGTAAATTTCTTAAATATCACTATCTGATTGGTATTATTTGTTCTCCAAATTTAAAGGCAAAGAAGAGGATCATAAAGAGGGATAAAAAAAAGTAAATTTCTAAAAAATCACTATAATCGCCCACCGTGGGGCTCGAACCCACGACCACAAGGTTAAGAGCCTTGCGCTCTACCAACTGAGCTAGACGGGCTTTTGCAAGAGAGGAGAACATACACTATTAATTCTTCAAGCAGTTAACTCAATACAAGCAAATGATCCTTAATGTCAAACGTATTCTTATAACAAACATAAATAGAGAATACATGAACTCACTAGTTTCTGTGGAACCAACACTACTAACAGTAACAGAGCATACAACTTTTGTCCCTACCAAATAAACCTCCGGACACCATACTCATGGCTCCACTTGAATGGTCTAGACAAGAACACTGCGATTGTGTTCGTAGCAAAAAAAACATTGCGATTGTAAACACATTAATACAGACAAAAATTGTTCATTGAGAAGCCAAGTGGTGCAACCGCAGAACCGCTGCTTCTGATACTCGAGTGAAGTATGAAGAGATAAAACAGAATGGTGTAATATCTGAACTCGATCAATGGAGTAGGAACAAGAACAGCACATGTCGCTAGACCAATACCCATATTTTTTTTTCTATTATTTAGAGAGGACATGAAATAATATTAGTGATAACTCTACACAAATCTTATACCATATCAACGTACTTATATATCTATTATATTATCTACCTAATCAGTTTTTAAAAAACATTAAAATTTGAGAAGAAACTAAGATTTGCGGTGGAAGCAAACATCCTTCGTAATGGATCATGCTTATAGGGTATACCTTGTTAGGATCGACGTATTGATAAATATTTTATACTGTAGTCTAATGTATGTGCCGTTACTGTTTAAACCGGGCGAAGTCGCAAGATTAATCAAGAAGAATGTTGTTTAACTCCGCCATTTATTTTTAAAAATATATTTCTATAATATTATCTGAGAAGTCACTTTCTTAGGTGTCGCGCCCACGTTAACTTTCACGCTGGTTGATTACTATGATACCCTTAATGAATTAAAATATATTTAAATATTATTATTTCCTTTTTAAAATCTTCCAAATAACAATATAAAATAAAAAGGAAATATTTATAAAATTTACAAAACTATTTAAAACGAAAAATAAGTATATATATAATATGGTTTCATAAAAAAGGAAAGTTTACAAAATAGTAATATTTAACTTAAATATATTTTTAAATAACATAAATTATACTTTTAAGTAATAAAATACTTTATATCTATATCTTCTTAGATGAAAAAAATATTTGCATATAATGTGTTTTCATTAAAAAAGTTCATACAAATAATCTTGATATTAGAAAAGAAATATTTTTCTTTAAAAAATAATTTAAACAATAAAATATATATTTTCAAATTAATTATTTTTTGATATATCTATCTATTTTATTAGATTATTACATAAAATAATTAAGTAACATAAACTGATATATGTTTAATTGACAAAAAATTATAATTAGTATTATTGAAATATTTTTTAGTATATTTATTTGATTATAATATCTTACAATTACAGCAAAAAATATAAATTATATTTTACTTATATAATATAATTTCTCAAAAAATCACATTTTTACTGCATATTTTAATAGATGTTAAAAACAAAACTAAAAATAAATTTAATAATAAACATCTTTTGATCAAATAACTACAATTATTTTAATATATCATAACACTATAATTTAACAAGGTAGATATATTATAATTAATAGTTAAAATTATCTGTTTTCTTAATAACTCTTTTGATGTTTAATTTTCTGTTTTTATGTTTGTGGAATTTAATATAACCATAATCTAATACTTAAAGCAAATCAGAATTCTTTATTTTTAAAATTATTTTAAAAAAATTTCAGATTATTATCCAATCAATCTATGACATAAATTATTTAGAATTTATAAAATATTTTAATTATTGTAAATATTGATATGTGTTCATAAGCTTTAAAAAATTGATTATTACTTATGTAATTTAGAATCAAACACTTTAGTTTTTATTTTTTTCGTTCTAAGCACAAAAAAAACTTAAAATACATAATCTTACTAAAATATACTTATATTTCGTAGATAACAACCAACATAAATGTAAATAAAATAATTAAGAAAAAATGTAAGATATTTAGAATAAAAAAGATTATAGTTGAATTCATAGAAATAGAAAGAATCCAATATATATATATATATATATCCAAATGATAAAACTGACTACATATAATATATATAAAATTATAATAACTAAAATAATATAATATTATTAATACAAATTATACATATAAATTATAAATTAATATAAAATTTAAAGTAAATATCAATCAACTATTATAATATATTTATTTCTTAAATATTTAAACCCGTGCATGAGCACGGGAAAATCACCTAGTACTTATTAATTAGATAGTAGTTAAATATGTTCTTCTTCTACTTTTGAATGCAAAAGAATACTGTATCACCATTTCATCTTTTTAACGATGAAATCTTATGTTAGTCCATTACAGCCGACCGAGGTTAAGTTTCGTCAAAATAGATTGGTCTAAAAGGCTACTAATGTTTTTTTTTTTTTGAAGAAATGGCTACTAACGTTGTAGAAAAAAATGGTTTGATACAGCTCAGGTCTGTGTAACTACTAGTCCTGCCTAGGAAAATTTACTAAGGCCAGAAAACAAAATTTTGTTTCTGTTTTATACATGTTGACACTTACTAACATTTTAAACCTTGAAGTTACTAACACTTTAAATTTTGAAGTTTTTTCACTAGCACTTTAAACTTTCAAATTGACACTTACAAATACTTTAAACCTTGAAGTTTTTTCACTAGCACTTTAAACTTTCAAAGTGACATTTGTGTCACAAAAAACCTTAAACTTCAAATTCTGACCTATTGAACAAGTAAAACAAGTCATTTATCAAGTTTTTTCAAAAAAATAAAATTTAATAAATAAAAATTTAATAAATAATCAAAACTGAATAAAATCAATTATTTTTTAAAAAAAATTAAAGAAAATTTCAGAACATAAATAAAAATTTATAAAAAATAATTTCAAATACCAAAATTAAATAAAATTCTGAAAATTAAACAAATAATTAAAGAAAATTCACAAAATTGAACTTTTTTGAAAATTCCTTTGTTTTTTATTTATTTTTTGAATATTTAGTAAATTTATATTTATTCAATATTTATTTCTCGGAGAAAACCTGAAAATCACTTATTTTTATTAGTTTTTAGAGAAATAAATATTTAATAAATAAAATAAATAATCAAAAAAATAAATACAAATCAACTGAATTTTCAAAAAAAAGTTAAAGAAAATTTCAGAACATAAAGAAAATTTATAAAAATAAATAAATTGAAATATCAAAAATTAAATAAAATTCATAAAATCAAACAAAATTTAAAGAAGATTCACAAAATTCAAAATTCAAAAGTTCGAAATAGTTTTTTGAAAATTACAAGACTATGTTTTTAATTATTTGAAACCATCAACTACAACAGTGATATGTTTGAATTTTTTTTGGCAACGATGATATGTCAATTTTTATTGGAAAATTGCATAAAAATTACAAGATTTCTTTTTCAGAAATCTGAAATATTATAGTTGAGAATAAAAAATTTAAATATATCACTATTGACGATGATGGTTTCAAACAATTTTCATAATTTTAAAATGTTTCTCTATGTTCTGAAATTTTTTAAAAATTTAATTGATTTTTAATCATTTTTTGATTATTTATTAAATTTTTATTTTTAAATATTTATTTTTTCGAAATTTTTTGATTATTAACTTGTTTTACCTGTTCAACAGGTTAGATTTTCAAGTTCAAGGTTTTTTTGTGACACAAATGCCACTTTGAAAGTTTAAAATGCTAGTGAAAAAAATTGAAGGTTTAAAGTGCTAGTAAATGTGAAGTTTTTTTATGCGATTTTATCTATACCATCACAGCCAAATTGATTGACTAATTAGATAGATCTACACAACTGATATTTAAAAATGGGCCGTTACTAAAAAAATATTATTCATGGGCTTTATATGGGCTTATCTACATATAATAAACGTGGCGAGTTGAACATGATATTTCCGAAATCCCCCATTAATAGTGTTAGGGATCCCTTGATTATCTCCTTCCCACTCCTCTCCCTCCAAAAACAATCATACCACAAAGCAAAAAAAAAAAAAAAAGGCTCGCAAGAAAATTTGAATTTTATTCCGGAAACCATCGAAACCTATGCACAATTATGGCGACTCGAGATGGCGTGAACGGGAAGTTAGAACGGAGGAAGACGATGACTATGAACTGGGCCGGGTTAGGCGATGTTGAAGACAACGACGACGACGACCACTTTTTCGAGAGCTCTAACCGTATCTCCACCGTCGTACCCGAAGATTTAGCATCATCCTCCGACGAGGAAAACGAGTTCGATGATTGCCGGATCTCCTTCTCTCGTCCTCCCGAGCCATCGCCGGATTACGATATCTGGATGTCGGCGCCGGGATCTATAACCGAGCGTCGACGTAAGCTTCTCAACGGAATGGGACTCGAGTCGAGGAAGAGCATGCTCGGAGCTATCTCGATCCAACGCGTGAGCAATCCCGTAACGGCTAATACCGTTACTGAAGCCAAGGTTGAGGAGCCTGATCATCGTAATAAATCTCCCGTTAGATCTCCTCCGTCGATGTCGGTTATGCTTGTGCGGTCCAGATCCGACTCCGATATCGAAGCTTCTTCAGCTGAGAAGAAGAGGAGAGACGAAATGTTAGGGGAGAAAACGTCGAAATCGCGTCTCACAAGAACCGCGTCTCACTGCGGGAGGAGATCAATCTGTCCACACTCTATGCAAACGCAAACGCAAGCCTCACCGTCGAACGAACCAAAGGGGAGATCTCATCACGGCCAAGGCAAACGTTGTAACGGTGGCGGGGCGATGCTTTCCTCAGCGGTTTCGAATACTCAGTTCAGTGCCTTCTTTCTTATAAAGAATCTCGACACAGGGAAAGAGTTCGTTGTGAAGGAGTACGGGGAGAATGGGATGTGGAACCGTCTCAGCGATATTCAAACCGGGAAGCAGTTGACGATGGACGAGTTTGAGAAGAGCGTTGGATACTCATCTGTTGTTAAAGACCTTATGCGACGAGAGAACGCGAGCTCCACCGTTGATTTGAGGAAGTTGAATTCTTACGTTTCGAAAAGCTTGAGAGTGAGCAAGAAGAAAGGAGCTGCGTTGTTGAAGAACATAAAGGGTGTTGCTCATTCAATGAGCGCTAAGGCAGCTTCTTCTTCTTCAGAGAAGGATAAGGATTCTTCTAACGGTAGTGCTACAAATAGTCCTAGAGTAGTAGTGGACGGGAAGAGCAACGACCAGACGAATCAATGGGTGAAGGTGAGGCATTCAGGGAAGTCTCATAAAGATCTAAGTGCTTTGCATTTGTGTCAGGAGATTCAAGCTCATCAAGGAGCTATTTGGACTATGAAGTTCAGTTTAGATACGCATTTGTTAGCAAGTGGAGGGGAGGATTGTGCTATTCATGTGTGGGAGGTTCAGGAGTGTGAGATTATGTCAATGAATGAAGGGAGCTTGACACCTATTCATCCTTCAATGGCTGCTTCTTCTTCCGCGGAAGGTGGTGATGATTCGGAAGTGCACAATGAGAAGAAGAAGAAAGGGAAAAGTAGTTCATCTGGTAAGAAAGGAAGTCAGATCCCAGATTATGTCCATGCGCCTGAAACTGTCTTCTCACTATCAGATAAACCAATATGTTCTTTCACTGGCCATTTGGATGATGTTCTTGACTTATCCTGGTCTCGCTCAAATGTTAGTTTATGTTTCTTTCTTGATGCAAGCAAATATAGATTGCTGTTTGATAAAACTTAACCATGCCATCTTCTCATGCAGCTATTGCTTTCATCTTCCAAGGACAAAACCGTGCGATTATGGGATATTGAAACTCAAAGCTGCTTAAAACTGTTTGCCCACAATGACTATGGTAAAAGATAAGAAATATATTTGTAATACTCACAATGCTCGAAACTTTTAATGCCTTACACAATTTGTATTTTTTTCAGTTACTTGTGTACATTTTAATCCATTGGATGAAGATTACTTCATAAGTGGCTCCCTTGATGCCAAGATCCGTATATGGAACATATCAAACCGTCAAGTAGTGGAGTGGAATGATCTAAATGAAATGGTTACCGCGGTTTGTTACACTCCTGATGGTCAGGTACTTAATTCTCTTAGACTTGACATTTCCAAAACTTGAGAAATTGATCTCACTTTGCTCTTTGGTACGTAGGCTGCATTTGTTGGTTCACATAAAGGGAATTGTCGGCTTTACAGTGCAGAGGGTATAGTGGCTAAATACAACTACGTTTAGTAATTAACCTTACACTCTTCATTTTATAAAAAAAACAAATTCTGTTTTGATTGATCAGATTGCAAGCTGGAGCAAACAAACCATATTGATCTGCAAAACAAAAAGAAAGCTCAAGCTAAAAAAATCACAGCTTTCCAGGTGTTCTTTCGAAGACGTTTCTTTTGTTAATTTAATATCAGAGAGAGATTTTCACTTACCTTTGGGTTTGCATGAACAGTTTTCGCCTATTAATCCATCAGAAGTGCTTGTAACTTCTGCTGATTCACGCATTCGGATTCTTGATGGTACTGAACTTATTCAAAAATTCAGAGGTATATATCTCACTGATACAATTCATTAGTTTCTTCATCTAATTTCACAAAAATAAATATTTATAATTGATCCATAAACATGCAGGTTTCAAAAACACATGCAGCCAAATGACAGCATCATACACACTAGATGCTAAACACATTATCTGCGCAAGCGAAGACTCGCAGGTTTACGTGTGGAAACACGAAGAGCCACGACTAGGAATCACCGGTAGAAAAACCATCGCCATGTGTACTTCTTACGAAGCCTTCCCTTGCAAAGACGTCTCCGTGGCAATCCCCTGGCATGGCGTTGTAAAAGGCGAACCACCACCCACACATTCCCATTCCAAGAAAAACGCTAAAAAAACTTCGACGCAAGAAAACGCAAACGGAGCTAAAAAGTCCAGCCTCCCACCGTTACCCAAGAAAAACAATGACAACGCGGCGGATGGAGCAACAGAACAACATCAAGAAGATGAGGCCACGACGCAGAACGAAGCAGAGAACAACAATACAGGAGAGACACTAAAGCCAGGGGATTCACCTTCTACGTCGCTCTCATCTCGGATATCTTCTTGGTCTTGGTTTGATGGTAGTGGCAGTCATGGATCGCATAATCAACCAACGGCTTGGGGAATGGTGATTGTTACATCCACCATCGGTGGCCAAATCCGAGCGTACCAGAATTTTGGATTGCCCCGTAGAGTCAGTCGTCAAGGCTCTCTGTTTTGACGCGGTCCATGTACATATATACGTATATTTATACAGTGTACAGATCCTACGAAGTCCTTGTATAGTCTACTGAGTTTGATATGTATATTATAACCACAGATTTTTTTTTTTTTTAAATGATATAAACAATAGATCCAAACATTGTATTGCATCATCAAAACTCATATTGATTTTAGAGTTGGTACACGACCTTTGAATAATTTGAGGCTCATGTGAGAAAATGTTGATCTTCTTGCTCCGTAAGGTAGTCATCATGTTCTTATGGGCTTCAAACATAACACTGCAAACAAAGTAAAAGCATTATACCTCAGTTTTAGAATCAGCTGATTATTCTGAACACTGAACCTTTGCGTTTGAATTCTATGTTGTTGAGCCCAATCATGTTAATGAAAGGACAAAAAATAGAAAGGTACAAAACAGAATGATGTGGTCCAAAAAGGTTAAAGTGTTAATGTCTCTCTAGGTACACAGAACGAAGCATATGGTCTTTGTTCACACCAAAGCATTTCTTTCTACTTTTCTCAATTTCGAGCTTCTAACGGTACTCTATACTACTATAATATCTTTCTTTACTCTTTACTATCAGATTTAAGTAATTTTCTACTAACTAGTAAATATATATGGGTATTATGGCGAAAATGGGACCTAAACCTGAAATTGTAGAAATGGTAACCGGAGAATTATAGACAAGTAAGACAACTAAATCCTCCATACTCCAGATAGCATCTAACCAAACAATTTAAACCCAAAATACGATAACCCTTACTTTCCTCAACTAAACTATAAAGTAACAGCTTTCAAATCAGATGATTTCAAAGTTCTAATACTGTTTGCGTAGAACTTGTCACAATGTGACTCATATATCAAGAGGTTTCGTGGTGTAGTTGGTTATCACGTCAGTCTAACACACTGAAGGTCTCCGGTTCCAACCCGGGCGAAGCCATATACGTTTTTTGTTTTTCTATGATTTTATTTGGTTTAAATTACTAAATAAATGATAAATAAATGATCTCTCTCCGTAAAGTATATACACATTCCTTATTCTTAATTTTGTTGCATCTTCTGATTCTATATTTATCACTCAACCAAATCTCTCTCTTCTCTTCTCTCTCAAAACTCCAAAATGGCTCAGCAGGTCTCCAAATGCTCTCCCTCACTTTCTCACTCTCTAACACAATAGCATATATGTATATAAAAATGTCTAATGGCTGTAATTATAGGAGCAAGGATGGCCGTTGGGTCTGAGACCAGTAAATGCAAGAATTGGAGGACTCACAAGAGAAACTCATCATCATGAACAAGTTTCTGCTGGTTCCATTTCCTTCAGCTCTCTTCACTCTCCTTCTCCCTCCTCTTCGTCTTCCTCCGATCTTGATTCTCAGGTCAGATATATTATCTTTACACTTCTCTACTTATAATACACACAAGAACACATAACGTATACAGCAAACTACTTATTCATAGGTCTTGGCAGATTCTCACATCTTTTTTTCTTGCATACCAATTGATGAGCCGTTTGAATCTGTGTGCGATTTTTTTGGAGAAATTCAATTATGATTATACTTTGACTACTATTTTGGATCTGTTCAGTTCACATTATCTTTCATTTTGTTTTCTGGTTTTGTTTATTAAAGTTAAAATTACTAAAAACAGTATTGTTGTTGGTTGAGATGACTTCTGAGAGAACGTGAACCAATTGTATGTTCTTTAAAGCTGCGATGGTTTTGTCTGAAAAGGGCACGTTTGTCGGGAATTGTTTTTTCTCATTCTCAGATAAAAAGTATTAGTACTATACCATAAAAAAAAACAAAATACTATTAATCATAGCAATTTCTCAAATATATTCGCAACTTTTTGGTCACACTGTATTGGAAAGTGAAACCATTGTATTAGAAAATGTACCTATAATTCACCGAGCTATGTGAATTCGCACCTTTTTCTCCTTCTCGTTATCTCATATACATTTGAAATTTTATGGTCTCAGTTTGCAAAACAATATGGATTTTAGTTTCATCTTTTCTAATATATATTACACATTATACTTTGTTTGGTCACCATTCACCATCAGAATTCAAACTGTCGACCTCTTCAATGAAAGTAAACATGGCAACCACTACAAGATTTATGTTGCGTGTGGGTGCATCAATTTACACTTGTACTTTTCCCATACGCATACTAGATATAACATCTCTAATACTCTTATTTTTTCAGTCGATGGGATCATTTTTCCGCGATAGGGGATACACACTAGGAAACCTAATGGGGATATCAAGCTTTCTAGAACTTTCAAGAAGATCAAACCGAACAAGGATTGATCAAACAGCTTCGAGGAACCATCAACATCAGAAGAATCTCAGATCTTACAAGCCATGGATTTTCTCTATATGTTCCAAACTAAGCACACATTCCACTATCATTCCCCATAACAAAATTACTATAAACGAGAACAACGGTCGTAAGAATGTGCAGTCTCTCGGACATTTCCTCATGGTGGAGAGACGAGCCATCGGATCAACCACACGGTCCACACCAACTATGTGAATGTCTGAGAATTAATAGCTAAGCAAGCTTGCTCGTTAATGTTCGTGTTTGAAACCCTACTGAGATTTGAAATAGGATTTGTTTTATTGATCAAAATAACAAATTCTGATTGTATTTTGTATTTGTTTGTTTCAAATGGTGTTGTATTTGGGAATTTGAAATAATTTTTCGTTGCATGAGTTGCATCAATATATATGTGATACAAATACTTGAGTAGGGAAGGTGATATTATATATATAAGTTTATTATATATAAAACTGAAGTCTTTAGGTTCACTGGACAATCCTTAGATTTTGGAGAACTCTATTCTTTTCTTTGGTTGGTTTTATCCCTTGTAAGGTTTTCTGGCCAAGGTTTTTAATGAGAGAGATTCTTCAAGGTTCTAAACTTGTCCAAGAATCTCCTATGGTCAAGCCTGAGGGGAGTATTGAGATGAAGAAATATACAAGATCAGTAGTAATAAAGTGAAGTGCAGTGAAGTGCGGCGAAGTGCAGTGAAATTTTAGCGAAGTGCAGTGAACTGCAATGAAGTGTTTTGGAAGACAAGAAAAGAATGGATCTCGTCCAATATCATATTCAGAAGCATATTTGAGATGAAGCAATAAACAAAAACAGTAGTAATAAAGTGAAGTGCAGCGAAGTGCAGTGAAATGCAATGAAGTGTTGAAAGACAAGTAAAGGAGGGAGCAGAGGTTTAAATATTTGGTCTAGGGTTCCTTAAGCTTTGAAGTTAAATAAACATATGGAAGCAAGTAGAAGGAACTGTTGGGGCTTTATGCCAAACCAGAGTCACATGTCTTGGCAAGAAAGGAAGAGAAGAATGAGCTGTCCCTTTCTGTCCAGCTGAACGTGCCCTGACCCAGACCAGAGCTCCATTGTTTATTAGTTCATACTGTACTACTTGTCAACTCTCTATTCTATTTATAGAACTCATGTAACAACTAAATGAGTATGGGAATAAAGCCTATCCTTCTTCCCTAAACTCTCTCTCTCTCAGTTCTTTCTTATTTTCTTTGATAATCTCAAGCATAATCTCATCCAAAAACTCTCTCTAATTCTCTAATTCTCACATGCTATCTATCAGAGCAGTATGCTCTTGAGACCTAAATCATTCTACTCTCTTTACCTACTTCCGCAAATTCTCTGAGTTTCATTTCTATTTGTGGCAAAGTTCATCTTGTTCTTCAGTTGTTCATTATTTTCAGCTCCAGAAATTGCCAAAAAAATAGAAAGATTTCGACCAAGAAGATGGAGAAGGAGAACCTCATTCCAATGGCTAGAGTTACCTTGGGAAGTCATAGACTTTGGGACAGCCATATCATGGAGGCTGAAACTTCAAAGAGGATGGCTTTGGAGGATAGTCAGGCTACTTGTCTGAAGCATGAAAACAAGTGGGTTCAAGAGAACAACAAACACTTAGAATTATACACAGCTCTCTGCTGAAAAGATCTTGGAGGATCATTATCACCTCAAAACCGCCAAAAATCTATGAGAGAAGCTTCAAAATGTTTATGGGAATTTATGGGAGAGTTTTCAAGCTGTCTATGAGCAAGACAAAGTTTTCAGTCTTCTCCTAAATCTGGATTCACCCTACAATAGTCTGATAAATCATATCATCCAAGAAAGGAAGCTTCCGAGTTCCCCAAGGAAGCCAGCTGAGTACGTTTAAGCCCAAAGAATTTGAGCATCAAGTAATTGGAGGAAGAACCATGTCTTCAGCATTCTATGGTGATTCTAATGAAGGAGGAACATGGAGGAGTATGGCAGGGGCGACCAATTCTGATGGCCCAGTGACTAGAAGAGACTTTGATTCCTTTATAAAAGTTGCCAAAGCCCTTATCTCACCCATGGAGGTTGGTAAATATTCTCCTGACTCTCATTATTATAGATTGATGAGCTAGCCATCACATGATTAGTGATAGGAACCTGGTTAGTAATATCAAACCTGTCTCATGGAATGTGCTTATAGCAAATGGTGATAAGGTTAAGATATAAGGGATATGGAACCTTAGGTTGTTTGATAAAGAATCAACTGCCTTGTATATGCCTCAGTTGCCATCAAATTTTCCATCAGTGAAAAGAGCAACTGTTGATCTGAATTGTCAAGTTGTCTTTAGCAGGCCCGGCTCAAGGTTGTACTGGGCCATGTGCAAATTTTTTTTTAATACAAATAACTTGAAAAATCTGTAAAAAAAAAGCCTTAATATTTTTTGAAAAGGACCTTTAATCTATAAGTAAAAATTGTTAAAATAAATGAGCCATGTGCAATTGCACCTTGGGCACATGCCAAGTGCTGGGCCTGGTCTTTAGACCTAATGAGGTTGAGTTTCAAGATTTGAAGACATGGCATGTTATTGGTAGAGGGCACAACCATCAGGGACTGTATCATTTAGAGAAGACTAAGATATCTGATGCATCGCCTGCTCACTGCTTGATCAGTGCTTGTAATGGGGTTCAGAGCACCATATGGCACTCTAGATTGGGACATCCTCATACTGGAGCTTTGAACTTGATGCTTCCGGGTATGGTGTTTCAAAATGATGAATGTGAGGCATGTATCTTGGGGAAGCATTGTATGACAGTCTTTCCAAGGTCTATCATTATCTATGAGAAGTGTTTCGACTTGGTTCATTCTGATGTGTGGACAACACCTTGTATTTTCAGAGAGAATCACAAGTACTTTGTCACCTTCATTGATGAGAAGTCAAAATACACATGGGTGACTCTGATTCAGACAAAAGACTAGGTGCTGGAGGCATTCAAGAACTTCCATAACCATTTTTCCAACCATTTCAATGCCAAGTTAAAGATTCTCAGGTCTGATAATGTTGGAGAGTACACTAGTCAAGCATTTAAGCGATATTTTGCTCAGCATGGGATCATTCAGCAAACTACATGTCCTTGCACACCACAACAAAATGGTGTGGCTGAGACATCTGATGGAGGTGGTCAGGAGCATGATGTTCCATACAAATGTACCAAAGATGTTTTGGGGATATGCAGTGATGACAGCCTACTATTTGATCAACAAAATCTCCACCAAAGTCTTACATGATCAGTCCCCACATGAGGTATTAAACAACAACCGACCATCTATTGATCACCTTAGGGTATTTGGGTGCTTGTGTTTTGTTTTGATTCTAGGAGAGCAAAGAAACAAGCTGGAACCAAAGAGCACCAAGGCCATGTTCATTGGTTATTCACCTCACCAAAAGGGATACAAGTGTTATTCACCAGAAACCAAGAGGGTTCTAGTCTCTTGAGATGTGCGGTTGATGGAATCTAAAGGCTACTATGATGAGAAGAGTTGAGATGAATTAAGAGACTTATCATAATCTGCTTCGGATAGAGCTGAGAATTTGAGAAGGGTTATGAAAAGTATTGGCATCAGTATACCAAGGGTAAGGGTTGAGACTGAACCAAGACAAGACCAAGCAAGTTCCACCAGTGATAGAGACCAAGAGGGGTCTGAAATTGAAGTTGCTGAGAAAACTCCTCTTAATCCTGAAGGGGGAATCAATCTGAGATACAACCAGCCATTTCAGTCTCTCATGATCAAGAAGAGCATCAAGAACAACAAGTAGAGTCAGTGGTGAGTGGAGATCAGCCTACGGATGATGAGACTGCACCAGCTGAAGAAACCTTCCAGCCTTGAGAAGAAGCACTAGGATAAGACATCCTTCTTTAAATTGCTGCTACACAAAGATCTATTTCAATGCACAAGCAGTGGCTCATCCTACTAGGGCTGTGTGCTCTCTAGCTCAGTACCCTAAAGATCATGTGGTATTCATGGGTACACTGGACCAGAGATACATTCCAAGGACTTATGAGGAAGCTATGGAGCCTAAGGTGTGGAGAGAATCAGTGGGAAATGAGACCAATGCCATAATAGTTAATGAAACTTGGTATGAAGCTAAACTTCCAAAAGGGAAGAAGACAGTGACTAGCATGCGGATTTTCACCATCAAATAGAATGCTGATGGTACTGTGGAGAGATGCAAGACTAGATTGGTGGAAAGAAAGTTCACTCAAACTTATGGAGAAGATTACCTCGACACCTTTGTGTCAGTAGCTAAGCTTATAATATCCGGATCATCTTATCTCTAGCAGTCAACTTAGAGTGGGATCTATGGAAAATGGGTGTGAAGAATGCATTTCTACAAGGAGAGCTTGATGATGAAGTCTACATGAAACCACCTCCTGGTCTAGAGCATCTAGTTAAGTCCGGGAATGTTCTTAGACTCAAGAAGGTCATCTATGGGTTAAAACAATCACCAAGAGCTTGGCACCACAAGCTCATCACCACACTCAATGGAAGAGGGTTTGTGAAATCTTAGGCATACCACACTCTCTTTACCCTCACCAGCTCACAAGGGATTGTAGTAATTCTGGTATATGTGGATGATATCATCGTCACTGGAAGTGACAAGGAAGGTATTATTTCCACTAAAGCTTTCCTTAAAATTGCATTTGATATCAAAGACTTGGGTGAGTTAAAATACTTCCTTGGGATTGAGATGTGCTGATCTAAAGAGGGGTTATTTATATCTCAAAGGAAGTACACACTTGATTTGTTGAGTGAGGCAGGTGATTTAGGTGGAAGAGTTGCCAAGACTCCACTATAAGATGGTTACAAGGTCTTACGTGAGGGGAAGATGGAGAACAAACCATATGAAGATGGCAAGAGATATAAGAGAATGGTTGGGAAGCTCATCTACCTTACTATCACAAAGCCGGATGTGTGTTTTGCAGTAAACCAAGTCAGCCAACATATGCAAGCACCTAAGATCTATCATTGGAACATGGTGGAGAGGATATTGAGATACTTAAGAGAAGCACTTGAACAAGGAGTTTGATTAGACTGCAACAAGAGTACAGAGATTGTTGGGTATTGTGATGCAGATTGGACTGGAGATAGAGTGGATAGGAGGTCCACAACTGGCTATTGCACCTTCATTGGAGGCAACTTAATTACTTGGAAAAGCAAGAAACAAAAGATAGTATCATGATCAAGTGATGAAACTGAATATAGGGCTATGAGGAAACTTACTAGTGAGTTGATTTGGATAAGGAAATTGGTGAAGGACTTGGGCATAGAGACTACAACTCCCATCACCATGCACTGCGACAACCAAGCAGAAATCCATATGGCT